CTAAAGCAATACAATTAAATTACATGGAGCACGGATGTAGCTGCATCTTCTGTTTGGTTTATGAACAATAGACAGCCGGGTCAACAGGGACTGTCTGCCCCCTACTGGAACGGAGGAGAAACCAAGAAAGAATAATTAAAAGCACATTTAAAACAAGGCAATAAATGGTCGACTAATTTATCAGGTTAACACTTACAAAAACAATCAATTTCAAAACTGGTACTATTAAAATTATCGATTTATTTATTAAACAGAGTTTCGTCTCTTCAAAGCAGCAATTTAAATTTAATTTACACTGTAGTCCGACAGGTGGCGTTGGTTAACGTCTAAAATGTTGTCAGGTGCTTTTAAAATGACGAAGAAGATTCCTACCCAGTCCTGATATCCGGGCAGTTAGCAGAAACACAACGTTTAATCAAACGTCTTATAAATGGGTAAAAAAGATAAAGGAGAACGAGGTAAGTCCGTAAGTTGTAAGTTGTTTCTGGTCATTTTACTATTAGCTGATGAGTCTTGGTCACCGTTCGTTCTTTTCCGTTATGTCCCCATAAACAGATCTTTAGATGCCTCCTTTAGATACGTAGATTTACTACAGAATAATTTGTTACTGGTAAATTTTCTACAAATTTGTCTGCGTCAGCTTCTCCCGATGTGTAGAGGTTTTCTTGAGGAGCTAGATTTGTCAGTAATAATAGTAGTAGTAAAATGTTCTCATTATTTTTAATATAGCTGATTGAATGTGCGTCACATAGTTTGCGATGGGATGTTGGAGCTGTTTTAAGTGGTGATGGTTTTAAAAGAAGGAATGATGCTGAGTAAAACACGGACAGATGTGGCCAGCTATATATTATAAACAAAACAGAGAGATAAACAAAGAATTAGTCCTGCTGACATTTGTCATGTTGGAGCACAAGTGACATTTCTAGCCCTTGAACTTACCATATCTACCGCAGGACTTTTTTATTGTAATTTTGCCCATTGATGTTTTTTTTAAATTTGATTTATTAATTTTGATTGATTATGGTTTTTTAAAAATTTGATTTATTAATTTTGATTGATTTAATTGTTTGTTGGTGGTTTATTATTTTGTTATTCAAGAATGATAAAAAAGTAGAAGAAAAGACGTATGCTTACTGTTGTGTCATGCATCATATATTCATCATCATCATCATTTTAAAAACTTTTTTTTTAACCAACGAACACTGAAGTGGCCCTGCAATGGCCCTCAGGTATCAAACACCTGTGTTAGAGGGTCTACGTGACCTATATACTATACATGTTAGGGACTATGACATGGACAGTACCTTGAGAAGATCCCAAACACATGGGGAAAACATTTGAAGTTATCATAGTGACAATAGTTTCTGTTGTTTTGCAGAAAAGTCCAAGTCCAAACGGCGTTTCCATGAGGAAGATGATGACGATGAAGAGGTGGTGGGCAGTGAGTCACAGGAAGCTGTTCCTGCCGCTGCAGGTAAACAAGTTGATGAATCGGGTACGAAACTAGACGAGTATGGAAGCAAAGACTACCGTCTTCAGATGCTCCTGAAGAATGATCACTCGTCACGTCCACTCTGGGTGGTAAGTTGTTGGTTTTCATGCTTGATACATTTTGAAAGTAAATAAATAAATAGACTTCTTCTTATAGAATTCTGCTTTATGTTCTCTTTCGGAATTCCTTATTTCCCCATGCTTCCTTCCTGCAGGCTCCAGATGGCCACATCTTCCTTGAAGCCTTTTCACCTGTGTACAAGTATGCTCAGGATTTCTTGGTTGCCATTTCCGAGCCGGTGTGCAGGCCAAACCACGTGCAAGAGTACAAGCTCACAGCCTATTCCCTATATGCAGCTGTCAGTGTGGGGTTGCAAACCTCTGACATCATAGAGTATCTGCAGAAACTTAGCAAAACTTCTATACCTGATGGAATCATACAATTCATTCAGGTCAGACTGAGAGCATCTCTGTCAGGAATATTGATAACACAAATGCAATGTGGCTTAAAAATGATTGTTTTTTATTCTTTCTTTCAGCTTTGCACAGTAAGCTACGGTAAAGTCAAGCTGGTGCTTAAACACAACAGGTAAAGGCACATCAGTAGCCGAAGGTCATGTGTTCCTTTTTTAAAATTTTATCACTGCTGTGTTCTTACATTGTGACAATCATCGTGGTTCCTCAGGTATTTTGTTGAGAGCGCCTTCCCTGATGTGATACAGCGCCTTCTGCAGGACAATGTGATCCGGGAATGTCGCCTTCGTAATGCAGACGGAGATGACACCGAGCTTATAACTGAAGTCATCCACAGCAAGTCAGCAGTATGTCATTCATGCCTGTGAAAGTGTTTACCATTACTGTGTTGTGCAACACAGGGAATTCAAATCAATAAAAAAAACTGCATATTCAGAAATTGTACATGAGGTAAAATCTCACAGTGCAAATTATATTTTACAGGTTTCTTCACAGATAGATACAGTAGTAGACTTTTGAAACTTTTTTTTGACTCTAAGTTCTGCTGCTCACAAACATGGTCCTGCCTGCCTGAATTAGTTCGTTATTTAAATTCTTGTTGTTGTTTTACATGTAATAGATTCTCTTGTTTTTTCACAGCTCTCCAAGTCTGTCCAGGATAAGGGAAGTACCTCAACCTCGCAGCAGCCAAGTGAAGCGGAAACGTCAACCCAGCAGATTCCAGAGGACATCTTTAGCTACTATGAACAGATGGATAAAGATGAAGAAGAAGAGGAGCAAACTCAGACTGTGTCTTTTGAGATCCGACAGGTAAACTAATTCACCTAAAATAAAAACTGTTTGTTTTCCTAATCTGCTACAAATAGAAATTATTGATGGTTATGGTAATCTGTAAGGTGAGAGGGTGTATTTAAAAAATATGTTAAATGTTGTTAATTCACGGGATTTAAATAGTCAAGTCTTTAAAAGTTTTTCCCTTCTCTTCTCTAATCTGGAATAGGAGATGATTGAAGAACTCCAGAAGCGATGTATTACGCTAGAATATCCACTTTTGGCAGAGTATGATTTTCGCAACGATACAGTCAACCCAGACATCAACATAGACTTGAAACCTACAGCCGTTCTGCGACCTTACCAGGAAAAAAGTCTCCGCAAGATGTTTGGAAATGGCAGAGCTCGTTCTGGGGTCATTGTTCTGCCCTGCGGTGAGACAGCTGAAAATTGAAGTCTGAAAAAAAATGAACATCAAGGAAGCCAAAAAATGTGGATCTCATATTTGTTTCCCCTCTTGTTTTGCAGGTGCTGGAAAATCCCTGGTGGGCGTAACAGCAGCATGTACCGTACGTAAACGCTGCCTGGTGCTGGGTAACTCGGCAGTGTCAGTGGAGCAGTGGAAGTCCCAGTTCAAGATGTGGTCCACCATCGACGACTCGCAGATCTGCCGTTTCACCTCAGATGCCAAGGATAAACCCATTGGCTGCTCAGTGGCCATCAGCACCTACTCCATGCTGGGTCACACCACCAAACGCTCCTGGGAGGCTGAGAGGGTGATGGAGTGGATGCGAAGCCAGGAGTGGGGACTAATCATCCTGGATGAGGTGCACACAATTCCTGGTGAGCTTACACAATTTCTTTTAGGAAATATTGACTTTATTTATGTTTTGACTGAGATTGGTAGAGTTCTCACATGCCCTAGTAAACCTTGAAAATAATGATCAAAATGCAAGGTAGGTGCACTTTAAAGCATTAGAGTGATGGGAGGTTAGATGTGCAAGTCAGGCTACACTATGGAGTTACTAATATTGCATTTTGTATTTCGGTGCAAGTGTTGATAATGAACCTCAAGATGTCTGTCGCATCTGCTTAGAATTTAAACTGAGTTTAGTGATTCTCTAATGGGAAATGAGTAGCTGTTTTGACCTTCAAGTATACAACCAGATTTTTGAATTTACTCTTGTTGAACTTTTAAGACCTGGCTCATCTTTTTTTTTATAGCGAGGATGTTCCGCCGAGTTCTGACCATTGTGCAGGCTCACTGCAAACTGGGCCTCACTGCCACCTTAGTCAGAGAAGACGACAAGATTGTGGATCTTAACTTCCTAATTGGACCCAAACTGTATGAAGCCAACTGGATGGAACTGCAAAACAATGGCTACATTGCCAAAGTCCAGTGCGCAGAGGTGAGTACCGCAGTGTTCGATCAGGATAAAAGAGAACGGTACATTTCGTATTTTGTAGGTTTCTCTCTTCGTACACGACTGAGCACTAAATACTCTTGACTGAGGTCTGACGTGTTAAGGTGACATCATTTGTTCTTGTGTCTTTGCCTCAGGTGTGGTGCCCAATGTCTCCAGAGTTCTACAGAGAATATGTGGCCATCAAAACAAAGAAGCGCATACTGCTCTACACCATGAACCCAAACAAGTTCCGTGCCTGTCAGTTCCTCATTCGCTTTCATGAGCGTCGCAATGATAAAATCATTGTCTTCGCTGACAATGTGTTCGCCTTGAAAGAATATGCCATTCGCCTCAACAAGTAAGTTGTCACAAATTGAGTCCTTTCCTGTTTTTGCATTCTATCTTTTGTTCAAAAACGTGCAGCGAAATGCTTTCTGAACTTTCTCAACGTTGTCATTGTATGTCTGTGTGACTTTAAGGCCTTACATCTATGGTCCGACCTCTCAGGGCGAACGTATGCAGATTTTACAAAACTTCAAACACAACCCCAAAATCAACACTATTTTTATTTCTAAGGTAAGGACTCTCCCGTTGATTTCTTCGCTACAACACTTCTGCCACAGTGTGCCCTCTTGTGGTCAGTCGCAGACTGACCAGTATTTGAAGGGATAATAATACCTTCAATCATTGGAGGAAAAAATACTTGGCTTAGAATGACAATACACCCTAACTGTCACTGTGATACTTTGCTTAAGTTACATATCTTTGAATGTGCTCTTCCACACAGGTTGGAGACACCTCTTTTGACTTGCCAGAAGCTAATGTTCTTATTCAGATCTCCTCCCACGGTGGGTCACGCAGACAGGAAGCTCAGAGGCTTGGCAGAGTCTTAAGAGCCAAAAAAGGTTGGTGTGTCTCCAAACCAAACAAAAAAAATGTTGTTTTTTAAGTCATCATATTACATGTAATGGTGAACTGCTTGTCTGTCATTGTGTTCAGGGATGGCAGCAGAAGAGTACAATGCCTATTTTTATTCACTGGTGTCTCAGGATACACAGGAAATGGCTTATTCGACCAAGAGGCAGAGGTTTCTGGTGGACCAGGGCTACAGCTTTAAGGTTTCCATCTATAATATTTTACCATCATAATGATAGAAACATACATATATTTCAATAAAGCAAATAGTAGTATATTTTCTTTAATAATGAATTTGTACTCTGTAGATGTAACTTTATTAATACTAAAGGGTTATTGAACTCTTTTGTTCTTTGCACTGACTGGTTAGTTTGGTTTCATCATCTTTTGTTAATTGTGGTGTGTATCAAGACTGTAATGTGATAGAGACGTGCTAGGAGGCATCATGTTTGAGTGACAAAATAAAGAATGAAGCAAAAAAAAAAAACAGATTAAATTGGACAGATTAAATTTCATAAAGACTCCACCTTTCGCTTTTCACCATCTCGTCTGTTTACTTTAATCCATAGAAATGAACCTCAAATGAATGGGGGGAAAAAATAGAACAGGGCTTATAAAGTCACATTATCCCTGTGTGGGCTTAAAATTAGACCATCAAAAACATGTGAATGTTTGTTTTTCTCTTTGGGTTGTTGAAGTATGGATTATGTTTTTGAATATACTTTGAATAGCTTTACACTGTTATTTCTCATTTTTTTAGGTCATCACTAAGCTGGCAGGTATGGAGGAAGAGGATCTGATGTTTTCCAATCGAGATGAGCAGCACCAGCTCCTGCACAAAGTCTTAGCTGCTTCAGATCTGGATGCTGAGGAGGAGGTAGTGGCCGGCGAGCTGGGGGCAAGACCACAGGTAAGACATTTTGCTACGTGAAGGCTTACGGAAGACTCTGCTGCCACTGTATGCTTCTTTCTCTTCTCTAACACTGCATACTACAAAATGTTCTCTCTCATTTCCCCCCCCATCAGTTCTCAAGGCGGACAGGCACAATGAGCTCCATGTCCGGAGCAGATGACGCAATCTACATGGAATATCAGGGCCAAAGCAAAAGTAAACTCTCTGCATCGAATAAAAGTGTTCATCCGCTGTTTAAACGCTTCAGGAAGTAGACTCAGACACTCTAAGTTAGGATGAACTTGGTACTACAGATGGTCAAGAGCCTGAGAACCCTACAGCTGCTGGTCCAGACCAGAGGAACGGCTGAAAAGAAAGAGCAAACACCAGGTTTGCCAAACGGACAGTTTAATGTTGTTTATTATTGTTAAGCTGTGATTTACTTCCTTTATCATAGAGGTATGATATGTGGTAGTTTGGACAGAAAAACCCAATAATGTTGAGGTTCAGAACTCTTAGCTCTTAACTTAATCAGCTGAGTGAATAAAAACATGTTTGTAAATTGTCAAGCCATGAAATTTGTAAAGAAGGAATATTTTGTACTTGCAAGGTTTGACAGACTATTGCTATTGATGTAGCAAAAATAAATAATAATAAAAAAACTAAACACCATGAAACTGTTATTGGTCTCAATACCTGTGTTCAAATGTAGATAGATATTTTGGTCCACTGTTGTAGCTAAGTCCATTCCTGTTGTGAATAATGCGCCAACATTTTTTTTTTTAGTTTCTGTCAGGTTAGAGAGAAATACCACAGATACAGCACGTACTTCCATCCATAAGTTTCACACTTGGATCATATTTCATTGGCTTCTCCCTCTGGACTTTATACACACATTAAGAACTCCAGTATAATGCAGCGGTGTTTGTTCACCTTTTTTGAACTGTGGCCCATATTTGCCATTGGATGTGAAACCTGGGGATGTTTAGTTGAACAAAAGGCTGGTATACTCTCAGGAATTGAAGATTTTTTTTTTAGTACCCATCTGCTGCCATTGAGTGGAAGACTGTTTAATGTTACGTTGATCCTCCTGTCTCGTAGTGGAACCTTAAAATAATTTGCAGCAAAAACAGCACTGTCATCATGACACGGATCGTAAACTGTTGTTTTGTTCTACGAAAGCATAGTGTTGTGGTTAGTTCCAGCTTTTCGCAGAAATACTAACACTCCACGCTGTGAGGAGGTGTGCTTTTCACAGAATCCTTAGATTAGGGGTGTTAGTTGTATTAATCTAATAGATTCATTGTAACCTCTGTGCCAAATTGGCACGCAGCCAGTCTGCGGGGGCCAGGACTCTGGCTGGATTAGGGGGCAGTGTTGGCATTCCAGCTTCATACTGACATGCTAAAACTCCACTGTGTGGAGAGGTGTGCTTTGTACACCTAACAAGCTGAGATCAGGGGTGTTAGTATTTAATAATCTTATAGATTCACTCTAACCTGCGTGCCAACGGGCACACGGCCAGGACTCTAGCTGGATTAGAGGGGATTAAGTTCTTGTTTCTCATCAATTAAATGCAAAAGCTGTATTAAGTTGTGTTATGTAGTTTAGGTATACTATCTTTCTCCATCTAAATGAAAGTGCTATGAAAAAAAAAAACCAACAACAACTCTTAGTTAGCTAACCTTTATATTCTGCACAGGATCAAATATCCCTCCGCCCCTAGCGTGGCTATTGGATGTTGTGTGGGCCTGTGAGGCAGCTGGAAAGTAATAGTTATGTAATATTATATGTCCATCATATGGAACTCCCTTCTTAGCCACAAAGAAAACTAGCAAGCGCTGTAGCAGACACAGTTAACAGGGGAAACCAATGATGAGACGACGTTATAGCTTGTTTGGTCTCCTCTCCATGGGGCCTGGTCGTCTATGCTAGTGATTCTCTTGGTGATCTTTTGGACCGGAAGCAGGTCAGGGAGAAATCAACTCACAAGGTTAGGACAAATAGTAAATAATATAAAACTTCAAAATAAAAACTACATCTAAATGTTTTTGCAAAACCTTGGTATTTGTTTGTGTTGTTGAAGGACTTTCTTAAAATATAAAGACAAAAAAAAAACACCCTGCAGACTGGATAATAATCATGTTCACATGGAATTACACGAATGTAATGCCGATCTCTTGTGCTGGTCAAGGGTTTTCTAGGGTCACTGCATTAGGTGAAGTACGTTCAAGTTGTGTGTAAATTAAATCATTGTCCCACGTGTAGAGGGACTTCTTGAAATATGTTGTTCATGTTTAACACACAGTGGGGGGGGGTTGTCTTTTTCTTTCTTTTTTCTGATACTTTAATACAATTTGTCGTGTATGGTTAAATCATTGGATGTGATGCAACGTGCATGTGCAGCACATGGACGATGAAGGAAGAATAAAGTATAAACCAAGCAGCTTTTTGGGGGATAGAAACGCCCACATCCCAATACAGAGACATCCCTTCCTTAAGCTGGGGCTGTTATCCAACCTTATTTCACCTCAGAGCTCTTACAGAAACGATTCTTTCAAAGCTGACTCAGTAAATACGCCGCCTCGCTTAGAGATACCTCACAGGCAGAGCAGCAAGACACACGTGCGAGGAGTGGAAGCATCAGGAGCCGTGGACTTTGTAGACTTTGCTGGGGACACGGTCTCAATCGTTGGTTTTGAACTCAGTGCAAGAGTTACTTACAACAATGGCAATTCTGAATCACTTTGCGGCTGCATGCCTGAAGAATCTGCATGGGAACCTGCTGCCCGAGAAACAAATGTTCAACATCGTACGCCTTCTACACAAGTCCGCAACCAGCGAGTGTCTGGGGGTGACCGCTTCCGAACAAGAAGCGGTTCCTCAGACACTGATGACACCGGCGGATCTCGGCCTGACCACCAGGATCAAGACGCTGAAGGAGATGCCGGGACCGAGCACAATCGCCAACCTGATCGAGTTCTTCTATAGAGACGGCTTTAGTAGAATCCACGAAATCCAGGTAAAAGTATGAAGAAGTTTGTTCGAAATAGAAATGGTTTTTATCTTGTGCATCTGCCAAATATGCCACCCGTGCGTGAAATGGCACAGGCTGTTGCGTAAAAACGCACCAGGGGTCTGCTCGGCCCCCGAAACTGTACAAAAAGTACACATTTACTGCGTAGAAATCTTAAAATATCCATTATCCTCGTCGATTTTTGAGTATAATTCTCAACCTTTCCTGTTGTTTGACGTTTTGAATGTCAGCTCTCATTCTCATGTGGTTTATTTGACTACACTGGACCCTGAAAAGTAATGCAAACAATTCCAATAATCCATTTTGGTCATACATCAAAGCATTTGTCAGGACCAACACATTTTTTTTAGTATTTGTAATGAATATCTTTATTATTTGAAGTAAACATTAACTTTAATTTTGACAAACTCCAAACTTTCAGGTCATTTTAACATCAGGTCATTGTCCCGTCCCTTGTCTTTTAATAAGTCTTAACACACTGTTTAGGTACATTCACACTGCATCTTAACATCACTACATGAATCTTCAACAGTGATTCTTGCCCTTGGACTTGATGCAGATTATTAGTGATTACCTGAATTTCTCCACAAAACTAGACATTTCGACAACACACATGCTTATTTTGATGTTTTGAGTTTGTACAGGCATGTCACTGGAAGTTTTTTCCAGATTCTGTTCAGTGCAAATGTGTGTTTTTGTTGCACAGATGGAGCACACAAAGAAGTATGGGAAAATCTTTAAGTCCCGCTTTGGACCTCAGCTGGTGGTTTCAATCGCAGACCGTGATATGGTGGCTCATGTGTTGAGGGCTGAAGGCACGGCCCCTCAGAGAGCCAACATGGAGTCCTGGAAAGAGTACAGAGACATGAGGGGCCATTCCACCGGACTCATCTCAGCGTGAGTCTCTCATGTTCCCTAACGAGGGTTAAATATATGACCCTGAACTTGACTGGGGTATTTGACAAATTGGGGTTACAAGGCTAAGTCGACTTTCCAAAATAAAGCTGTAAAAACAACCACGCGTTTTATTTTACAGTGAGGGGGACGAGTGGCTGAAGATGCGCAGTGTTCTCCGGCAGCTCATCATGCGTCCACGAGATGTGGCCCTCTTCTCCGATGACGTGAACCAAGTGGTTGACGATTTAATCAAAAGAGTCTGCACCCTCCGTGCCAAAGAGTCTGATGGAACGACTGTCCTCAACGTGAACGACCTCTTCTTCAAATACGCAATGGAAGGTTTGTGAAGCCCTGTGGGAAGATAGATCTTTGATGAGATCAAAGAAACACTGATGAATTTAAAATCGGTGTAAGTGAGATAACAAAGGGAAACAGCCCGTAGACAGGAAGTGATAACAATTAGGATTAGTAGTTGACTAGTGATGCGTGTTATATCTCATGATTCCAATTATTTAAAATTCATCATTTTTGGACATTTGTGTGAGATCCTGTTCACTTTTAAACAAAACAAAAATGTCATTTTCCTGGTCATAAAAAAACCCCAAACTTTTTTCTTTACAGGTGTAGCGGTCATTAGAAAGTATATCCCTCATTTTCCTGGTCATAAAAAAAAACCCAAACTTTTTTCTTTACAGGTGTAGCGGCCATTCTGTACGAGTCCCGACTAGGTTGTTTGGAAAATGATGTTCCCCAGGAAACGCAGGATTACATCAGTGCACTGCACCTCATGTTCAGCTCCTTTAAAACAACCATGTATGCTGGAGCAATCCCACAGTGGCTTCGACCAATCATTCCAAAACCGTGGCAGGAATTCTGTAGCTCTTGGGATGGACTTTTTAAATTCAGTAAGGTTTTCATGCGTTTTCTTTTTCTTTACATCCTCCTTATCACCTCTACCATCTTACAACACTGACTTCTCCTTCTCTCTGTTATAATTCCAGCTCTCCTTCATGTTAATAAGAGACTTGGCGATATTAAAAGTCAGATTGAGCAGGGAAGGGAAAAATCGGTCTCCTCACACACTTGCTCCTTACCAAGGAGTTGAACATGGAGGAGATCTACGCAAACTTAACAGAGATGCTGCTGGCCGGTGTTGACACGGTAAATATGCATGATTTTTTACTTTTTATTTTTTTATTTCTCCATCACTGCATATGACTATGTCCTACAATTATTAAAATCAAAGGACTTTTTACTAAAAGTCATTTCCTAATGTCCTTGCATTTGACTTTTTTTTAAATTAAAAAAAAAATCTTTTTTGAAAATGTAAATTTTTTTTGGAAACTTTTTATCTAAAAACAAAAATATTATTATTATGCTAAATAACTGACCCCATTTAGAACAACTGTCACTACATCCCCTTTTCAATATATACTATATAAACATGTATGCTTTCATTTGTGTAAAAAACATAAAATTCCTGGCCGGAGCAGCCAGAGCTCAACAGGCCTCAAAAGCTGTGATTGATTTAAATACGACCGTGTTCATTGGTTTGCTGGTTAAAGTAAGAATACGATGAGGTCAGACAGCATGTGGATCTGGACTGAGGTGTGTCTCTAGTTAGCTCTAACTGTTTAATTCTGATCTATCCTACTACTGCCTAGTGTCAAGCAGCGCGGCAGTGAATAACGCAGAATCCGACTGGTGTTTGAGCGCGGTGGAGGTGCAGCGACTGTGACTTGAGCTAAAGGTGGAGAAGCAGGAGGGAATTGCACGTGGGTGTCCGTCTGTGTGTGTGTCTGATTTGGTGTTCGGTTTCAAGGGTTGGGTTTCTGGCGCCACATTCGTGCGTGTGTAGATGTGCCGGTGTTGGGTTGAAGCAGTGAGCTGTAAGGTGGCACGGTATCCCACTGACAAACTGATATGTTTCCCATCATTTGCATTTCCTTTTCTGTGCCTGTGCCAAGAAGCTTATTTCTTTTGTGAGAAATTGCCAGTCTGTGCAGACATGGATCCCATAATTATAAAAATAAAGTACATAATTTAACATGGGAGCAGCGGTCAACCACTAGGGGGCATATCCAATTGATTAAAACAGTGGTTCTCAAACTGTGGTACGTGTACAACCGTTGGTACGTGAGCGCTCTCTAGTGGTACGTGGGGAAAATTCATATTTTCACATTTACATTTCCAATTGACTATATCTGAAACATACCATGCATAATTAGTACAACATTTAAACAAACATTTCTAAACATCTCTCCTGTGGTGGAAGCTAACAGTGAAGGCCTCTGCTGCTGTATTCTAATGTTGGTCATCATGGTGGTACTCAGAGAGCTCCATGTTTTCTGAGGTGGTACAGAGTAGAAAAACTTTGAGGACCACTGGATTAAAACAAATGAAAGCATAAGAGAAATTTAGTGCTACTTGGGGCTACTGGTCTCAGTTCTGCGGTTAATAACGTTTATGGTTTAATAATAATAATTATCATAACTTGTTAATATCATCAAATTCATAGGAAAATAAATCCAGCTTTAACATGTCTGGTGGTGTTTAGGCCTTTCTGGATTATTGAAGTTTTGTGCAAAATTAATGGACCGGGAATAAAAGGGCGTTTGTTACTGATGAACACGTCTCATGGTCGTGAAATGTGGAAGAAATTGATGGTGTGATCCTTACACGGAGGCACAGCATCATGACAGCAGAAGAATGGAGGTTTTGAGGGGTGGAGGGAAGAGGCCTCCACCAAGGGCTGCTCTTAGACCAGCCTTTGTTATCTGATGCCTCTCAGGCTTTGTCTGAGGTATTGCCAACACTTGTCCCAGCTGCTGTTGGTTGTGGATAGGTGAGTGAGAGAGAGACTGGGTAATCAGAGTGGGGGGCATTCATTTGTGTTAATGTGTGCGGGTGAAAAGGAAAAGAAGGCAGATGGAAACAGGCAGGATGACAGCGAAGGGCATTGCATTGTATATTACGATTTGACTTGGCATAAAATCCTTTACGGACAAAGCGTACAGTAGGTTTTTTATGGTTAGTTTCCAAAAAAGCTTCAGGCAAGTCTCCTAAAGTATCTCAGCCTAAATCTCTACAGCACCTCCGGAGGTAATGGTCTGACATGGAGCAGCTGTTTCAAATAATTTGCTTTCTTCCTCTGCACTTAGTGGGTCTGTGTCTAAATCTAGTAGTGTATGTAAGTACAACAAGTGAGAAATGGCTACACCGGCATCTAAGGTGGACTTGAGAGTCAACCAAAATATACCGCCTACCCCATAACCCCACCACTCTTTGCCAAGACTTGTGTAATGTTACAGAAAGTCATATCACAGTTACTTCACACCAATAAAAGTCACGCAAAAATGATAAGCAAAACAAGCTACTAGTCTACTGAATGTAACAATTCCATTCTTTTCTTACTCTCCCAGACATCGTTCACTCTTTCATGGGCCACTTACCTTTTGGCAAGACACCCTCACATGCAGGAGGAGATCTTTTCACAGGTGACCTCGACCTTGGGACCCGGGACAGTCCCCACAGCGGATGATGTTCCTCGTATGCCTCTTATCCGGGGGTTGGTCAAAGAAACTCTCAGGTACGGCAATGCGTTTACCATCAGATTTGATTTTATTAAGATAACGGTAAGATAACAATGTAGCCAATGTTCCTTTAGTATGTATCATTCAAAACAAAGTGCAATGCTGAGTGGTGTTAGTGAAAAACCTGTTTTCACAGTAGTTTCTTGTTTCCACTTTCTGCTTAAAGCTTATTTTTTAGTTTGTTCAGCATATACGCATCTCTATATGGGCTACTATTTATCTCTGTGTCTGTCTTTTCCAATCCCTTTATAATTAAACTTTGTGAGAAGATCAATGTGTAGTGCTGTTGAATAACAGTCTTTGTGCTCATATCCATGGGAGCAGGCTTTTTCCAGTTCTCCCAGGCAACGGCAGGATTACGCAGGATGACTTGGTGGTGGGTGGATACTTCATCCCCAAAGGGGTAAGGCTCGTGGAGATCTAAAAGATGCAAGTCTTCTTAGTATGCATGTCCGGGGAAAAAAAGTGAAGGCGATGCTTGACGTGACATTACTTGTACATCTTTTTCTCTCACTTTATTACAGCTTGCTTTTACAAAGCGGCTTTCCTTTAGTCCAGCTGTAATCAGGACTGAAATTCTTTCTCTTGTCTGTTCAGACTCAGTTGGCTTTGTGTCACTATTCCACATCCTGGGATGAAGAGTGCTTTGCTGATTCTGCAGAGTTCTGTCCCAGTCGCTGGGTACGGAAAGATTCCTCAGACAGAGTCGACAATTTTGGCTCCATTCCCTTTGGCTACGGCATCCGTAGCTGCATCGGAAAGAGGATAGCCGAGTTAGAGATGCATCTGGCTCTCACGAGGGTAAAGATGTGTTTTAAATCGACTTTGTTTTCACATAATGTCATACATATATGTACATGGGAACATCAGAGGACAACATTAATGCTCATGGTAGCTGCTTGTTCAAATTTCTGGGGCAGCGGCAGTTTGGTGGTTAAGGAAGCAGACTTGAGTCCAGAAGGTTTCAGGTTCAAGTCCACCAGCTGCCAAGTTAACACGGAGGTGCTCTGAGCATGGCAGCGCCCCCGCACACTTGAGCTGGCCCCTGCTAACTTTGGTGATGGGTTAAAAGCAGGGGGCACATTTCGTTCTGTGCACCTTCACTTCACTTTTAAAATCAAGGATATTTGTTGGCTTTTATATCTTGGCATATGTGATATCTGGAAATTAAGGAGAAGTTCTTCATCATTCTACATATTGCTCCACAACATACATTTTTTTTTACATTTAAAACCCCAGTTATTCACACCAAACACACAGGAGCAGTACTGCTATGATGTCACAATCAGAACAACAAGGAGCTGTATTGTCCAACAGAAACCAGTCCCACTCATTTACAGTTACTCCTAAAATCCAACGGAGCACTTTGACTCTTTTTTTTCATGGTTTGACAATAGCTGAACAAACTCTTAGATCTGCCGCTCATCCTGCAGCTATATCCAAACTCTGTGTTTCGTCTCTTGGCTGGAAGTCGAGCATTTGATATCGTTCTTTCTTACTTTTTCAACATGTCCTGACTTGAGATATTGACAAATATTAAGAGAAAGAAGCAAAAAATAGAGTAATTAGAAAAGTGATTTATTATCCACAAGATCCTAGTGAGGATCTAAAAGTTTCAGTATTTTCTTTTCTTCCAGTGGCTCCTGAGGTCTTCTTAATTAAATGATAGTTTCAAAACATTGATGTGGCCACTTCATAATCTGTCATGCATTTATGGCTCTGTGACTCAGCTAATCCAAAACATGGACAATGGACAAAGAGATTTGGAGGTTTTCTAATTAAACACCTAGGCTTTTTTTTTCAAAAACACTGAACAATTGAACACTGACATATCTGTGTTTGCGCTTTTTGCAGCTCATTCAGAAGTTTCACATCAGTCTGTCTCCTGTCACTGCTGATGTCAAGGCAAAAACCCACGGCCTGCTCTGCCCTGCTGATCAAATTCACCTCCGGTTCACTGACAGGAAAAACTGAAAGTGAACTCTTTAGCCTTGAGGGTTTTTTTGAAACTACTTTGTGTTTTTCTGGAAATTGTCCATTACAAGGTAATTTTAGTATCATGCAATGGCATGGTTTGTTTCTCTATTGTTTCTCACACATTTTTATGTGTGAGAATTTATCCCGGTCATCATATAACTCGAAATGACATATAATCTCTTTGTGTGACTATCAAATGTTTCCTTTTTTATCCTTTACATTTAAATATTAATATGTAAATATTTCTTTCTTTCTTTTCTTTGTAATGTACTTAATCACACTGTTCCTTAGGTTTAGGAGAACAAGTCACTGGTAACTGTAAAAAAAAAATATAACCTTAGGTTTTAGCTGAAAAATAAATTGCTCTATATTGTACTAAATCAAAGTAAGTATCAATATTCTACAATATATATCTGAATCCGTTTTTAATAGATTTTTTTATAAGATTATAAAATATTTTGCTATTAGTCAAATTGTGATATTGCATTGATGGAAATGTGTCTGTTAGGGATAGTGTTGAGGTATGAGTCAAGTGGATGCTGGAGAAATTCTTCTGCTAGGTCTGAAGAATCGCACATTGATTAGGAGAAGTCTCTATATTCATCTGCTATTGTTGTTTATTCTAGCCTTCTGACAAAATGTTTTAAACTCTTCTATTTTACCATCTACAGCATATGAATGTAATTTGAAGGTTATAGGATAATTAAAGTTGAATATTACATCTATTTAAACAGTGCAGATGAATGGAAGAAACAGCAACGGCCAAGTCTTAAAAGTTGATTTTATAAGTGTTTCTGGATGGATCCTTTTTGGATTGAGTTCATGGAATGTTATGTCTATGCACTGATTTACACAAAAAAAATAAATGACTGAAATTATTTAGAAATATTGTGTGTGTAGGCTTTTTCTTTTTAATGTGATAATTTGAGTAATCAAGTTAATTAAGTTCTTAGGTCCTTGTGTGTTGCTGGTCTGTTCTTGGTCAGGCTCTTTCTACAACGGCAGTTGGAATCCACCTGCTGTAAAGCTTCTAACACGGTCATTTCTCTTTCATCTTTCCTGTTTCATGATCTTTTTTTGTCAACAATCCGAACACTTTGTTTAAAAGTCCTCCTCATTTTACTCTCCCTTTCCCCTGGACATCCGAACTTGCTTGCATTTTACTGTTCAACCATAGCCATTCCTTGGTCATCTCCATATTCTAAGCTCTGACCACATCATTTTTAACTGTTTCAATCATTAAGCTTCATCAATTTCCCACCTCGAGTCAACCAAGCATTGCAGCTAATTTCTCAGTTAGAGTGAAACACTGAACTAGCGTTCATATTTATAAAGAGGTACATCCATGTCAAAATTATATACATCAATTAAAATTACTTTAAAAGGGATAGTTATTAGGCAAAGTGCCATGTAATAGACAAACGATAATAAACGTGTGGAAAGAACAAATATGTAACTGAAGAAACTGCCAGAACGTACGGTTGCCTCTTCTCGCGATATTTTATGAACGGGAACATAACCGGAAGTAAATAATTCCTCAGTGCGAGGGAGGAAGGTATCGCTAAGCGTGGAAGCTGCTTATCTGTTACAGACAAAAACATTATTTACTCTTCTTCGAAGTTGGTTGATGGTTTCGCTATACTCGTTTTCTTCACAACTTTGGCAAAAATACAATACAGGGATTTTATAATCGAGCCTAACGCCAAACATCCGGAAATATGAGTATGTAGATAGCATGTACAGTTAGCATTAATGCGGCTAATAGTTTTAGCAAGCGTCGAATTTAAAAACCACGACCTCGTCAAAGGTTATTAAGGCTTCTGTCATATTTTCAAAAAGTTCCCAAAGTAAGCCAATATTTTCTTATTGATATCAAGTCTGGCCGTGGTGGAAACAAAGTTAGGCTGGATCTAAAATGCTCATTGAAAACCTCGATGCCTTGAAAACATGGCTGTCTGAAACCCTTGAACCCATGTAAGTTTCGTAAGCGTTTATGTGGAACTATTTTCTTTATGATCAGTTTGCACACACATTTTAAATACGTGTACATGTATATTTTGTTTTAAAATGTTGTCTTTACATTTCCAGCTGTGATGCAGACCCTTCTGCTCTCGCAAAGTATGTTGTTGCTTTGGTGAAGAAGGACAAAACAGAGAAAGAACTCAAAGCTTTGTGCATCGATCAGTTGGATGTATTTCTACAGAAAGGTTATTCATCTCTATCTTTGAATTGATCATCATGTTTCTAATACTATGAAGTACATTTGCTGTTAGGAAAGCTTTACCAATTGACTACTTTGTAGCAAAATCGGTTATTACGATTAAATGTTATTGGCTAGTCTTAGACTAATGTTATGTATCCATTTTCAGAGACCCAGCAATTTGTGGATAAGCTGTTTGAAGCAATTAACAACAAGAAATACCTTCCTCAGCCAGAGGTACTAACCTCTCAGGTCAAAGCTGAGAAAGAAGAGCCGAAAAAAGATGAGGTAATTTATTTTTCAATATAGTGACTTTTGTATCATTTAATAAAACAGATATGGTACTAATTGATATTTATTCACTATGTTCAGATAAATCGAGAGGAAGATAGAGAAAAAAAGTTCTCCCGGCGAGTGAATCACAGTCCTCCACAGTCTAGCTCTCGTCATAGCAGAGAAAGCAGGTGAGATCTGTTTTTATGCAGTGGTCTGAGATGTGTTTTTCATATACAATTTTTAGTGTTCAATTTGTGACATATCAAAATCTTAGGAGAGGAGATGACCGGAAGAGAGACGATCGCACCAGGAAGAGGGACTACGATCGCATTCCACCAAGGAGGGACTCATACCGAGAGCGTTACAATCGGAGGAGAGGTCGCAGTTACAGTCGTAGTCGCAGTCGGAGCTGGAGCAAGGATCGCACCCGAGATCGGGACAGAGAACGCGACAGGGATAGAGAAAGAGACCGTGATCGCAGCAGAAGTCGGTCTAACAGCAGAACTCGATCCAGAAGCAGGAGTAGAGGTAAGAAGCCGATTTAATGAAAAACGTACTTGCTTTTATTCACTTTCTAACTTGAGTACATCCATTAAAGTTTAGTCATTACATTCTTTCCATGTCAATAATATTAGTGATCTATGATCACTAAACAATATCTCTATGTATATTATAATTTAAAGTATTGCCATTGGCTGCCCTGAAAGACATTTTTTGTTCATAGAACGAGATTCTGGAAAGGCTCGAGACAGGTCAGAAGTCGTTGACAGCTACCCTGCGCCAGCCCAGGTTTCCTCTGCATCCACTTCACACTTCCCTGTGCCAACACTAAGCAGCGCCATCACAGTCATCGCTCCTACGCATCATCATGGAAACAGCACCACTGAGAGTTGGTCAGACTTCTGCCCTGACCAGCATAATCTAGATCGCGCCCCCTTTGGAAGGGGACCTCCATCCCAACCAAGAAAGCGATGCCGTGACTACGATGGTAAAAATATTTTCAAAAATGCGTTTGCAAAGTCTGCAGATGTCTTTTATGGTTTTGCTGTATCTTTGGTCTCTTACATACTGTGTTGACCATCTTTTTCAGAAAAGGGCTTCTGCATGCGTGGGGACATGTGTCCTTTTGACCACGGTAGTGATCCAGTTGTAGTAGAGGATGTCAATTTGCCCAATATGCTGCCTTTCCAACCTCCACCAATCCCAAGTGTTGACCCACCACCACCACCACCACCTCCAGGGCTCCCTCCACCACCACCTCTTATGAACCCTCCTCCTGTCAACCTACGACCCCCTTTACCTCCACCCGGAGCGCTTCCACCTGGAGCCCTTCCACCCGGAGCGCTTCCACCCGGAGCGCTTCCACCCGGAGCACTTCCACCCGGAGCGCTTCCACCCAGCCTTCCTCCTGTTGCAGGTAGGAGCTTTAATTCATTTAATATTTAATTAGCTTGTATAATATTGAAAAAACGTCCATTAGATGTGACCCTCCAATATTTCCACACTTACCAATCTTAAAAAATAAAACTTAAATTAAATCAAACTTTGAACTGAACTGAACACGGATCAAAACAGAAATCAAAATCACTAGCCGACTTAAATCAACATTGACAGTTACGCTTGGTCCCCGTCCAAGCACATGTCTAATCTTGGCATCGTCCTTGATATGAAGCGCTCCACTGAAAAAAATGCAATTCTCATCACACAATCTGATTTGTGTTTGTCAGTTTTTTTCTTTTATAATTCTTTCTGATTGTAAACATCTCTGTTTTTAACTGTTTACCCTGTCTTTGAGTAAAAATGAAATGTATTATTATTAATAGCGTGAATACAGTTTCAAATAGACTGGATTTGTATTTTGGAGGGTTAAAGATGTGTGTGTGTGTGAAAATAATACTGTAATTTACATGATCAAAGTTTAAAGTTTGATTTATTTTATGCATTCTGTAGACACACTACAGGCATGAGGGTTCTACTAAATGGTATGGAGGCTGAGCAACATGGTCCAAAATTCATTAATACTTCTGGACCAATAAATACCCAAGAGAGAGGTTTTCTATTTGCTGACTAAATTTTCCTCCCTTGTGAGGTGTGTGGGTCGAGCTTAGAAGACGCTCTAGTGCTGCAACAGATGCATCAGAGGAGCTGGTCTCTTTAGTTAGCTGCTCAAACGTGGAAAGAAGAGAGAGATTAAGACCCACTGGTGTGAAGTAAATGTCGCGGGGAGCTCCTGGTCTGCGCTGTATGCAGCCAAGACTCACTTTTGCACAAAGAGGCTTTCCTTCCTCTCATATTCAGCGTAGCGATCGGGATGTTTGGATGTGAGGTGATTAATTAAACCTGACGTGGAGAAATTCTTTGCAGATGCACTTCCTCTTAATTGTTTTTTTTTTTAAATTTCAGTATGGCATGTTTTGCAAATGCAAATCTGTAGGTTTTTCTCAGAAATATTGAAATGCGTCCACACCGCGGACATGTTGGCACTTTCAGATCAAGCCTGTGATGCAAGTTTTTGCTTGCATCATCATAATGTCCTGTTTCTGCCGTTTTGTTCGGTGACCGAATATTTGGTGCATCCCTAATATA